ATTTTGAGGACAGCTCTGAAGGGCTAAGTAGGACATCATCTTTGTAAAGGGCTCTCATGGTTTTTATGCCTCTTTCGTGCCAAATCAAATAGGCGGCGTTGGTAGAAGAAATTGATGATTTCTTAGCAACTACAATCTCAGATTTGAAGCAACAGAAGATGTTTTAATAGGCCGTGATGAATAGAGAAGAGAGGCGGGTGAAAAATGTGGAGAAATTGATTGAATTTCAAGTTTACACCAAATCAAGTTAGGTGAATTTATCCATAAGTCAGTTTATGAATATGTGAAGACCAGTAATACATTAAAAAATTGGATAGGGAAAGATCCCCGCAATAGAGTGAGCCTCAGTCTAGGGGCCCGCCCACTTCACAAAAAAGAAGAAATCATCTGGTCTAAGAACTTAAAAAACTGTTTGGGCAGAAATAGGGGAATACACTGACATAAAAAGAGAAATCTGGGTAGCACATTCATTTTGATAATATTAATCCTGCCTATTAGTGACAGGGGAGAGAGTTCCCCCTCTGGAAATCTGATGTAAATTGTTAGACCACGGGGGCAAAACTCTGAAAACAGTGAAGGCAAAGTACGTGTGATATTATTTCCCAAGTACCTAAACCCCAAGGGGCTGAGTTTAAAAGGAATGTCAGATTGCTCAAGTGCTAACGCTAAAGAGTTTACAGGTGTTCAGATTGAACACACTTGGTGATGACACAAGCCTGAGTATAAAGAAGTCTGATCCAAGACACAAACCTTTCTCCAAACCCAAACCTATTCAAGACAGCAAAGAGGTAGTCCCATTCGACCCGAACAAAGGCCTTCTCTGCATCGAGAGACATAATCACCTCAGATATGGGGCAATGAGCAGAAAAAAATGTGTTTAGCAATGTATAATCATGTATATAGTGTAATTCTAGAGCATGGCAAGCATCTCATCTGAAACTGAATGTGATTCAGAGCTGTAGAGATTGCATTAATCTCTTAATAATGTCACTAATAGAGACTGGGTCAGAAACCATATTCTTTGAACAGAGGCGGTGGTTTACGACACCAACTCTCTGCCATCTATAATCCAGTTTTGAG